CAGGGTGGTCTTACCTGGCAAGTATATTCGGAAAAGTCATCGCTCTGAACGGAGCCAAGGTTCATCTTTGCGAGGAAATGTCCCGGCCGTAGACGTACGAGAGTGGCCTGCAGCCGACGTTTACTGACCGGCGGCGCGTTCCTTAGACAGTCTGGCTTCTCATCAGGGGCAATGAACTTATCGCACTTGGCGTCATAGGCCACGAGGACACCGTCGGGCTTGCGACGCATCAGCCAGGCCACAATGGGTTCCGGCTCGGTGAAGATGAAACAGGTCATGGTGAGACGAGTGCCAAAACTGGCTGCTGCCTTCGCGTACCGCGGCAACTTCACAATAGAAGGGGGAACTTCGAAGAAAGAGAAGAGCAAGAAACAAGGACATGAAATTTGACAGGTTACGCACCGCAGATATTCTCGTTTACTGCACGTTGTTCAAAGCGGAACAATTTTTTTTTGTTCGGATGCTTTTTGTACCGAAGGGCCACACTGCAAATATGTCCTCTACATTAATAGTCCCTACGCATGCGCATGCAACCAGTGAAATGGTGAGTCGAATCCGCTAGTGAAGCTCATGTCGTTTCCTTTCTGACTGAAACTTAAAGGCATGACCTGATCTTTTTACTCAAAATAACACATGTATTTTTGAAAAAATGTGAAAAAACCAACAGTAAAAGACTAATGGAGGGGACACATATGAAACAATACACACAGGGGACGCTCACCCATAATGAATAATAGATTCGTAAGGGTAGATTGTCCTGTATTGACAAAGCTGTGGCAACAGTGCTTTACGTACTGCACGTCATATACCCCTATTACCGGCAATTTATCCTACGGAAACGGTAGTTGTAGCGTTTTATGTGCGGGGAATTAGGAGAGGCAGTGGAATGGGCTTTAATAACTGCTATATGCATTTTTATTTTATTGTATTTCGAAATGTTGTTGATTTATAGCTGTAGATTTTCCAAATCTGCGTTATCGTTTAGCATATTGCGGAAAAAACCCATTATTAAAATGCGGGTTTTTTGAAATTCCTGAAAATGGCGGTCAGAGGGTCGTCTACTTCATTTTACCTGAGGTCCAACTCACCGTTCTGGAGTTAGAGTCTTATAGTCAGCGCCGCGAAGCGCCGCGCACACATTCAATTTACATGCGGAACAACTTACTCTCCGCGGCTGCGGGAAACAAATTTAACTACATTTTTACACTTGACACTTACTTCTACAAATTTCCTTCACTGTCTATCCTATTTCCCCATCCATAAAACCCCTATAACCACCGTTTCCATAAGAAAAAATCCTGGGACTAGGGGTGTATGAGGTGCACTACTTAAACTACTATTGTCAAAGCTGTTTTGCAAAACCATCTAAAATGACCAAACCTATTTCAAATACTTTTGGTATGGACTCCAAAGGTATTGCTTTCATCTTTTACTAACCTCAGCAGAAATAGAAAAATGTTTAGTATTGCTTTACTATCTGCAGTTGTCAAGGAATACAGCTGACTAGTGGGTTTACAAAGTATCTTAAAATGGTTAGGTTTACTCTGTGATATAGTGTTCAAATCGGGCGGTATTTAGGCAAACAATTTCTCTGAATGGTTAGGTTATTTTGCTTTCGCACTATTTACTTATAAGTATTTACTTCTTCATTCAGCATTACTGTACCCCGCACAGGATCTAAATAGTAAATAGTGGCAAAGGAAGTATACAAAAATATTTAAATCACACTGAAAAGAGTAAGCAAGTTGGGAGCATCGGTCCTGGAATGAAATGCTGCACAAAATGTTTATAAACACTTACAGGAACTGTAGAGGTTCACTTTGCCAACCGTACTCGGCCCAATACCATTGTTGGCGATGCACTCATACTCGCCCACATCATCGGATGTCACGTCGTAGATAGTCAGCGTGCTCTCCATGGTGGTCTCATCAATCGAC